GGTCTTAAAATAATTGAGAAGAATATGCTGCCTTTCTATAACATCAATAAATGGTTAGATGTTCTAGTCCTCTCGGATAGGGACGAATAAATGGAGGTCCCGTCTCCTGCAGGGTTAGGGGTAGGAGACGTTAATTTCCCACGCACGAGATTACTGTGTGATGGATGTCCTCCCCTGTGGTGGGATGGGTGGGTTGCTGTGTTGGGTTTCATACACGAGCCTCTGGCTCGGGCAATCTGGGTAACCATGCCCCACGTAAAGACAATAAACTTAATTGATTGATTGATTGATTGATTGATTGATTGATTGATTGATTGATGAACCACACAACTGAGCCCTAAACTATATATTACCATTTGCTGTCAAAGTCTGAGGTACCGTCGCGATGACTGTTAGTTTCGCATTACTCTGCTTAACTCTTTAACTCTAAGAGTTACCGGCTCCTATATCCTTGAATCAAATGCTAGGGTCATGAGAATAACGGAAATTATCACCAATCTAAGAAGTTCCTGATTGTCAAACAAATTCTCCTTGTCAGTAACTAAGGAAATGGGGCAACAACAGTATGGAGAATATGCAATTGTTGTTCTCTTTTCGAATATTCCAGCTAGTAACCAGCTCTCCTGCTTTGTGGCAAATCCTGTTGACCTCTTATTGATTACTTACTTATTGGCCGTTTTCACACTAGAGGACGGACAAATCGTCTGGACGGACAAATCGTCTTAGACGAACAAATCGTCTGATGTGAAAACGGGACGAACAAATTTTTCGACGAACAAATCGTCTGATAATTGGCCGTCTGGAAAGACGATTTTTTGAAGACGATTTGTCCGTCGAGACGAACAAGTCGACGACAGTACGACTTAAATTCAAATCAGACGGTGAAATGTTCGATTTTCTCGCCGCGACGAAATGGGACTAGCAACAGAGCGAGGTTTTAGGGGAAGTTTCAACATGGCGGCAGCCATTTTGCTTTACAGCACGACCTAGTGTCAGTTCTATTTGCGCTCATAAGACGGACAACTTTTTAGCATAGGGCCTTCTCGAATTCAAATTCGACGAACAAATGCCAGACGATTTGTCCGTCCTCTGGTGTGAAAACGGCCATTAACCCTCAGAACGCGGTGTAATGTGCAGAGTCAGTTATAACTGTGTCAGGAATCTCCCGATTGCTTCTAACACAAGAGATTTTCCCGATAATATTCACGTTAAAACGACCCACAGATTCCACTCACTTAAATATTTTAATGTCCCAAAACCAAAACTCGCTCAATCACACGTCGCCTCACACATGATTATTTTTTCTTAAATCCTAATCTTACATCACGTGATTACAGCTAATCCATGGGTAACGAGAACAAAAGGAACAAAGTTCACTTCCACAGTGTGACAGTCACGCAGTCCATTTCACAACAACTGAAATTGTTTCCATTTTTGTTTATTACAGAATGTAGAGACCAATACCCTAATGTTTGCACTCTTTGGCACGACTACTGCAGACCTGAAGAGTTTGAATACAAGGTCCTGAAACAATCAGTGGAATTTATTAAAGCAAACTGTCCAGTGACGTGCAAAAAATGCCAACTGGGACAAAAGCAGAAGTCTTCAAGAAACCTCAACGGTAATTGATTTTTTATTTTTTTCTGACATGTCTTGATTTGGAAACGTATTTATCGTCGTGACATAAGGATGGATCAAAGGAATGAACATATATAAGTCCTCATGAGGAACTTTGAGGAATCGAAATTCAAAACTCTGCAGTCTGATCACCGATGCTCTGCCATTAAAGTTACAAAGAACTGGTGAGCTAAGCCATGTCTAGGTTCATTTGTAACCTGTGTCCTGCAAAGCCTGAATCCATTTCTCTTTTGTTTATGCTATTACAGATCTAGAGCTTATTACGAGGGAACTTCTGTGACGTGTTTTACGTCATGAGAAACCGAAAAGGACGAGAGATTAGCTGCCAAACAACGTGCATCACACTGTTACCGTTTTTATCGATAAAGAAACAACGACGTCCGCCCTCTTTGCTAAAAGGAAGGATACCAGAAGTTGTCAGATGTTACCATTTTGACGCAATTAGAAAACGAATTTTGAAAGACGGTCGCTACTGTTCCTAGACAAGAGAGTGACTTCAAATTAAAAGGGAAAGCTTTCCCGGATCGAAACTTTGAAAATGAATAAATAGAGATTATAGGAAATAGTACTCTTAACTGTCGAAACTGCAGCAATGGTAATACAGTTACAACAGAACAAACACATCTTTTCAGCCCTCTATAGAGTTTTATACCCAGTTAACTTCCGCAGTGAGGTAGTTATATTGAAAATTGCTGCTTGCGTAAGATTAAGAAGAGCAAAAATTGTTAGCCAAAATAGGTTTATCGCAGTTGCTACGAGAGATGGTCGCTTCCACGAGTCTTGTGTATATATTCTTTCAACAGACTATATTTTGGTACTTTTGAAAAGATGTAATTGCTGTATTTGTTAAAATGTAAAGAGAAATAAACGTAACATTAACAAGAAAAATGGTTAACATGATTTGTGACTTAGTCGTTTTAAAGATGTTTTATATATTTATTTGTAGAGAAAAGTTTCCCACTGCTTAATTAGCAAGTGTAGCTAACGGTTTTGTGTGGGCTTTGAAGCGTTAAGCGGTAGAGTGAGAAACAGCTTGAAGTAAGGGGGTTCAGAAGATTTCCCTGCTTGTTTTCGGGTGGAAAGCAAGCGAGGGGTTTGCGAAGACTTCCCAGCTCGTTTTCGCGGTTCCACCGCCCTTATTTTTTTTATCGAGCGCCAAAAAAGGGGGAACCACGCAAGCCATCCTGAGTGCATAGCTAGCAATAACTACGAAAAAGGATCTGAGCGCTACTTTTAGCGCATGAACAGATGAATTACTGCATTCTGAGTGGGCCGTCGACACGAGTCAGCAACGGATTGTTGTGAGGCAAAATTTGAAGTTGTTATTTTGAGACTTTTTGAGTTAAGCTTTTTGTTTTGTTGAGTCTTGCCTTTTACGCCTACGTGTTATTTTGGTAGATTTATAGTTTTGATCTTTTATTTTTAGTGTGTGCTCGAACTTGGCTCAGCTCGCGGATTTCCTTCTTACCGTGCTAGACATTTTAATAACTTGTTATGGTTGAGAATAATTAGTTTCATAGGTAGTCATGTTTGGGTTGGTAAAACTGACCTTGAGTTTTACCCACACTGAAGATCCTGTTTGTGCGCGTGATTCTCGTACGCAGCTCGATCATTGGCGTTTAATTGGTTCCTTGGTGCTCGCCAAGTACTTCGAAGCGAGCCACCCAATTTCCCCCTTTTTGCAAAACAACGGATACTTTATGGAAACTCCCACGGTCAGCTAACCCAAACATGTCTGTGATTTTTGTATTTAATACGTGGGCACTCCTCGCTAAACCGAGTAGTAGAAAAAGTAGTAATAGAAGAAGAAAAGATCTGAAGCGTAGTAGGAAAGAATAAAAAGACAAGAGTCTTAGTACTTCTCGTTAAAAGTTCAACTGTGTTGATATATTCAAATTATTTCGTTACCCCCACCGACGCAGCCCCAAACAGTTTCTTTAGAAACTATCAGCCTTTATTCATCGTTCTGAAAGTT